GGTGCGGGGCACTCGGTTGGACATGTCCACAGCGGATCATCCGCATACCGATGGTCAAACTGAGCGTGTCGACCGTGTTACTAAGGAAACTTAGCGCGGTATTTGTGCTGATACGCCTAGTCGCTGGAGCTCTATGCTTCAGGTGGACGAGGTTTTGTTAAAAGACGCTGTTCATGCGTCCACGGGATTTAACACATTTACGTGAATGGTCTCACTCACCCACGCGTCCCCTTTGACGTTACCACTCCGTAGTTCTGGGCTTGATAGGGGAGGAATAGCCTATAGGCTGGATGATGTCAGCCCAACTACTGCTCAGAAAAAGGTGAATGAGTTTCTTGCTACGCGATTGAGCGTCTTAATTAATGTACGTGACGCGATGGATGAAAGCCAGAAAAAAGGCACAAGCTGATGCCAAAGGCAGAAAGTGTATTGAGAGTTATGAAGTTGAAGACCTATTCTTACTTAACACTAAGAATCTACCTACCAAGGTGGTGTCAGTAGTATGTAGGACCAAGAAGGGCCTAGCATATACACTGAACCTTACACGCAAGATGCAAACACACCCAGTATTTTACGTCAGCTTGATCGGGCCTTATTGTGATCGGTCGCGGGTGGATCGCGAGGTAATTTCGTTGAAGGAGTTGGCAATGTCACAAGTTTAGGAATCCATTTAAAATGATTCAGTTGTCCCTCAAGACGCGCCACTAGGTCGCGCAGACCATGCATCTCGTGCACTGACTCGTCGACGACGCGTCGTGATTCATCGTCCACCGGCTACTCTCGTTTGCCAGCAAGGGGATCAACAGTATCATGTTGAACGAATCCTGCAGCGGCGTCGTCGCGACGGTCAGTATTAGTACTTGGTACAGTGACGGGGGTACTCTGAGTCGGAGAACTAACGAGAGTACAGATTGTCACTGTAAAAGGATTGTTCGCATGCCGTTGATCTTTTTGACAAATCGTCTTCAGGGTCAGTCAACCCATATTGCTTTTCACTAGTCGGCGCGAGAATGAAGGGGGCTGCAGCTGCAGCAGGTGCAATGTTGTGCGGGTCCATAGATGCCACAGCATAGGGTGCGATAGAGCGATCACAGTTAGTACTTGGACTTTTGTTTTGAGAAATTAGAGCGCAGCTTTCGCTCGAGCCGAACGTCAGCAAGTGAAGCGCTCTCTTTTAACTTCAATTGTCTTGGTAGATTACAAGCTCTGTGAGCCCAACGCATGAATACGGCATCGTTTTCCGCCTCCATCTCACCAGGGAATAGGACGACAGGTACGGTCTGAATGGAGAACACTGAAGCACCTTGTGCTTGCTGTATCAGCCTGTTGAGATAATCTTGGATGGTCATACACTCGACCCTCGGGTATCCCGCTCTGAGATCCTCCCTCTCCGCTAGTGCTGTGGCTGTGGAAGCCTTAGGTCACGCGATTTATTTTGCGAGTGACTTCCCGGCAGTCTGAAAAATTCGTTGATCCAAACTCGGTCATTTGATGCGTTAGACACTGTGAGAATACACTGTGGCTACAAATTGAGCCTGACGCCTGCACTCATAGACCGACTGAAGATATTGAGATCGATCTTCATCAAGAGTGTTGTGCAACACACCAACGTAGGATCGACGGCTGCACGCTCTGCAGGGGGGAATGAACATCATCGTGTTCCACGAATTAACTTGGCGCGATGAGCACACCGGTAGAGTAGCTGAAGAAAGGGTGTAAATGCTCAAAGCAGCGGTGTCACTCTTGTATTCCACCATACCCTCTATAAGGAATTCTTCCGGGGTGTGGGACGAACGATTTGACTCAGTAATTTTAAGGTGTGTTGTGAACACGATCGTTAAGGACCACAGTTTTGACAGACCTCAAAGCGAAGTAGAAGAATTGTCGACATAAGGGTGTCGACAGTTTGATGGGGGAGGGTGTGACGGGGTTACACGTGGTTATTGGACCGGTTATGTTGGGTGTGCATACCAAGTAAATATCGGTGGATATGAGTGGTTGAGTATTGGTGCCACGTACTTACGGTAATACCGCACCTTATCGGTTAGGGATAAGGGATAAGACCTCTGTCATAGGATCTCAAGTCAGCCAGATAAGGTTTTATGGTTTTATTACCGTAGATAAAATATCAATAACGTTCAGTTCCCCTTTGAATCGTCGGACACAAATGCCTAGTAAAGGCGTAGTGTTTAGTCAAGCACATTAGCCTTGTCAAGGCGCTTACTCTTGTTTAACTAGTAGTGACGAGTTAGTGTGTGATTTTAAGATCGTAATCCCTTTAGAATCGGGATTATTAAGCTTGTGCGCTTGAACGAGTGTACGTCGTTGTTAATTGTCAAAACAAAGAGACTTTTTGAGTCCAGGACTTCCTCTATTAAGGAGCTTTGACATACATCACCAACAACTGTAGTATCATAGAGCTTTTATTCACTTAATGAGGTGTTTAACGTCTCTAAAATAAGATGGGCGTCCGTGTAACGGGGCAATATTTTCTTGAATGCCACACAACTTCACTTGCACTTGTACGTGCAGAGGAAACTAATCGTTTAAATTAAGGTTAAAAGAGAACTGTATTTTACACACTTAAGCTATCAATATAAACCTAGTCTTTATTAAACTATACTGAACATGATCGTATGACGACAACATTCTCACCACCCGATACGCGCGTCTGGCAGTAATTGGTAGTTGTCTATTTATTTTCTTTTATCAACCAAACTTTGAGCAGCACGTGAACATACTTTTAAAGGATAAAATTCCTTCAGCATTATCTATCTCGGGTAATACTAGCAGAAGATAGTCACGCTAGACAATCTCCCTGTTGACACCGTTTGGTGTCAATCTCACGTAACGGGCTTCCCCGTTACATCACCCCCCCCCTTCATCACCACTCACCCCGGCGACTGAGATAATTAATTGAGTGCAGATTGATCACCGTTGTACTACTCTGGGAAATGGAGCACTTGTTGGTCAGACCCAGCTCATTTGCTAATTCCATCGCATGGGTTCGAAACTCATGCGGTTTGTTACCCTAGCAGCCATGAAAGCGGCTGCACGCATGCGTGCAGCCGGACGGAGTCCTTTTTAAGCCTTAACAGCAGGTTATCGTTCACCTGCTGTTGCAAGTTCGCAACAGGCAGTGACTGTTGTGACAAGTCCAAGTGGTGGGTGAACATGTGCGACCAATGCATCCGCTGCGTCTGCAGCGGGTGGCACGAATCGGTAAGCGGATGAGCCAATAATTGAGCTCATCTATTATGGCGAGTCGGATGCATCATCCGACTCGACGGTGGACATTATCATAGTCAGGTTGACTGGCTTCGGGGAACGTGGGGCTGTCATGTCTGAGACCATCGGCCCGAGCGATTCGTCTGACGAAGCCTCATCTCACGCAAATCCATAGGATACTAGGACGCGTGGTGATGGTGGTAGCGCAAAAATGCGTCACCACGAGGGAAGCAACTCGAAGGATCGAGCAGCTTCTGGTGTCGGGTCTTATGCTGAGACCACGCAAGGGGCAGAAACTGCAATGTCCTTCACCACGCTTATCAAGTGGAGTCACATCGGATGCCATCATCCAAGGAGTTAAAATGAGTGGCAAGTAGGCACATAGAATGGAGACGAATCCCGTTGCTTGATTGTAGGAGGATATGTCCCCCCAATTCCGGCACGGAAACAATTCATGCTAAGAAATTTTTTTACACCGATGTTTTTTTTCAACATTGGTGGTACAATTGCAGCCGTGGCCGCGATGGTAAGTCCTTGGTGCAGGAATGGAGTGCCTTCATCCAAAACACCGAGTGCATTGGCCGTGAGGTCTGGCTCGACAAATTTGGTGTGGCTTGCATTAAGTTTAAGAATTGTAACCCAGTCGGTGTGCGATACAAGTGCTCCGAACATCAAAAGAGACAGGGCACCCTGTCTATTGTGGGGCGACCCACGTCTAGGGTGCCGGGACAATGCTAATCGTTGTCCTAGGGAGACCTACTTACCTATTGTTTCCTTCTGGATGGCGCACATCTCGGCTGAGATGAAGGAAGGGATTGACGCTTTGTAATCTCTATACTCTCGTTCGGGGAGGCAGTTTTTCGACGGCCCATCTCCAAACGCAGCGAATGGGTATCGTCATTTTGCTCGCCAAGACCCAGAACATAAACAATCAGCTAGGCGCGAGGCCCCCACCTGTCCTAGGCCAGTGGATAGCTACGCCAGCGGACGATGTAACTCGTCCGGTCGCCCTTCACGTCGCGATGGTTCAAAATACGCTCCACTAGGAAGCGTTGACCACCGCTTGAGTCCACCAAAGGGTGTGGTCGTGGTGGGAATACCTGATCCGGCTCGAGGGTTGGATCAGCTTGATGTCCAGGAACACTACCGTGTAAAAAAACAGTTACACGATCACCTGGCCCATGAACGATCTCGGCATTATGGGCTTGAGGATCTTGTGAGGGATAATTTTAATTCACCAACGCACGATCGTTTGGACGATCGTGCCGCTTTTGCATTCGCGCAACTTGAGCACGAACGGTCGACTCGTTCTCTTCGTGACGAGCTGACTGAAGCTCGTCAGGACATCGCTGAGATGCGTGAGCAGGTTGATTTGCTAGTCGACCAGACTGGTTTGCTGAAATGATAAAACTCGACGGTGGTCTCGGCCCTTGACCACGGAGGTGTTCTTCGCATCTCGGAACGGGCTCGTACTGATAATGCGGGCGGAGACTTCTGTCGTGAAGCGTAGGATGCGTACGCATATTACGGGGCACTGTAATCGTGTATGCGTTGTCCACGCGGTGCAACTTACGAAATGGACCGATGTACCTAGGCAGTAATTTACTGCTTCCCGCGTTTGTCACTGCGTGTTTTAGTAAATTTATTGCTGACGGTAAAACTAAGTCTCCTTCATTAAATGAACGAACATTTGCTCTTCCATGTTTGTTTGCGTTTCTCTTCTGTCTGCATAGTGCATCTGCAATAGAGTCTTGAACGAAGCGGACGACCGCTTAGCGAGTCAGCAGAAATTCCTCTGCTGGTTCATCCTTGTCAACATCAGTGCGCTTCGTGTGTACTGCTGAAAGAATGTTGTATTCACCAATGAGGGTGTCATCGTCCTCACTGTGGCAGCCATTGGCGATGCCGAATATACCAGCATTGTAGTCACCATCATCATCGATGTCGATTCGATCGACATCGGCATCCATCACGTCGACACCATTGTCATCGGGTGATGAACAAGAACCAACTAGTTTTTCAATTGAACAACCCCCCCTTCCTTAAACTAGATTTACACTCTAAGAAGGCGGATGAACGTGGATGGCGTAAGACATTCACGAAGAACGGTGTATGCGTTGTCGACGCGTGCACCGAGTTGTTTATGGCGAATCCCGCCATCGGCAAGAACTCACTCCAGCTCGTAAACGAGTGGACAAACCCTCGATGCATCTCTTCGAGGACGCGTTTAACTCGCTAAGTACGACCATCTTTTTCGGGATGTTCAGAAGTTGACGTCTTTAAATGTGTTCCAATTGAGCAAAACACGGAATGCCAGAACTCCGCTGTAAAGCGGGGGTCTTTATCGGACACGAGATCACGGGGTGACCCGTGAAGTTAAAAGATATTATCGATGAAGATAAGAGCACATCCCTGATCTGTGATGGAATCCGTTACAGCAACAAAATGCACCATCTTACTAAACTGATCAACAAATACTTTAGTACCAGTGCTCTTGTGAGCGTCTTAAGAAAACCCAAAGACGAATTCCATTGATACGAACTGCCAACACTCTGCCGGAATCAGTAGAGGCTGCAAGGGTGCACAAGATGAAAAGTTAGGCTTCACCCCTTGACAAACTTTGCAAGCGCGAATGTATTTGCGTACAAACGCACACTGACTTGGTCAGCAGAAATCACAACTTGCCAAAAAATTAAGCATTCTCTCTACCGCTATGCCCACTTGATGGTGCACCGTGACACTCTTACATGATGCGCAATCGCAAATCATCATGAGCAGGAGCAACGACACGAGGTGTGTCGCCGTTGACTGCTGTATAGTACAGCAGTCCATCACGAACATAATATCGTTCGGTTGAAGAGCGGTATTGAGACGACAAGCTTTTTTTTTAAATCTTGGCGGCATAGATCATATACGTAACCTATCAATCGCAAATAAGACTTATCTTCTGCATATGCTTTCCGCACGTCGTCGAGCATATTCGACGACGGAACAATCACTGTTAGTGTCGCAACAGTGAAATCACCCCTACTGTTGGGTTGAACAATTGGCTCGAAATCGAGCCGACGCGAAATAGCATCAGCGACGACATGAAGTCGTCCTGGTTTATACTCGACGGAGACTTTGTACTCCGCGACGAAAGACAGCCAGCTCGCCATTCGTTACGAGAGGTCTGAACTCTTCACGGCCGTGTGTAACGACGCATGGTCGGTATAAACGGTGAAGGGCCTATTTTCTAAGCGATATCAACGAAACTTAGCCAGTGCAAATTTCGTGGCAAGAGTTTTCCTTTCACGCACTAGGTAGTTACGCTCAGCTTTTTGAGGCTGACGCGATTGATAACAGATGACGCGCACGACGCCGCCTGAGTCGTACTGCATTAACTCGCAGCCGATTGCGAGATCGCTGGCGTCACAGATCACGTAGAATGGTCTGTCCTGGTATGCAATCGCCAGCACAGGCGATTGTACCAAGCTTTCTTGATAACTGTAAAAAAATTCCAACATCTCAGCACTCCATAACCACCACTCGTTTTTCTTTAACTAACAAGAGAGATAAATGGTCATCTTAACATAGTCGCGCGAGTACTCATGCAAGTACGCCACGAAGCCAGGGAACTTTCGAAGTCCCCTGAAGTCGACTGGTACAGGCCAGTCGCGAATCGCCTTGATATTTTCCGGATTAGGACGTACGCCGTTTTACCCACGATGTAGCCAAGAAAAGGTAATTCACTCGCTGCGAATATATACTTCCTGAGATCCGCGAGCAACTTATGCTCACTTATAAGTGTAAGAACCTTCCGGACGTAGATTCTATGAACCTCCACGTAGGTTTTCCCATCCAGAGCCCGGTAATGGACGAACACGTCGTCAAAAAAACTAGGTGTAAAGTTGAACAGATCCATAACGCATCTGATGAATGTATCAGGACCATTACTTATTTCCTGTGGTATGACTATCCACTCCCTGAGCATACACTGAGGGTGCTCACCGCTGTGTACGCGATATCCCGTTCACGCATGAGGATCTGATAAAATTCATCCATCAAATCCAAGGACGAAAAGAATATAAACACTTTGCCATACCATCAATGATGACGTCCTTCCTTGGTATAGGCGTTTGATCCGGTACCGTTGCAGCGTTCAATTTGTTGAACGTGTGCACTATCCGCCACTTTCCTGTGGCCTTTCGCACACAGCAGGTCGGAGAGCTGTGTGTGGATCTTGATTCCCTCACATGACCAGAAGCTAAGCGATCGGCAAAGAATTTGTCGATCGCTGTGACCTGTTCACGAGGCAGTGGCCACTGCTTCATGACACAGTACTTCGAACCGATTTCAGTTCTATCTCATGCCGAGTGCCTTTTTTCTTAGGCAGCTCGCACGGCACGGATTCCGGGAACTATCCCTGATTCGACCAAATCGTTTTACAAAGGATTTGTCTTCAAAGACTCCCAAGATTGAGACGTGTACCGCTCAATCCGAGTCTTCTCATCGATGACACATTCTTCCATCGATAAGCTACTGAGAACCCGTTCGTTCTCAGCAAACACTTGTGCCGACCGATTATCGGCGACGCACTCGTCCTGTGTGACGAGTACGCAGATCTGCTTGATCTTGCCACTACGCAGATCTCGCAAAAATCTTTTAGATTCTAGCGTTGGCAACTTGACTACCTCCGAAGCTGGCTTCGGGGTTGTAACCAGATCAAGCCTAAAAGCGCCTTCACTTGATCCGTCATCCACCAAGACATTCACTGTCTCGGTGCTTTCCTGAGAAAACACATCCGCAGGTGGATGTGTATCCACACCCTCAATACAACTCTCTCTAGAGTTATTGCTCTCAGGAACGCTAAAATTTTCTTTCTTTACGTGTTATATCATGTTAACTTCCTCTTCGATCGACTCTCTCTCAGTAGATCGTGTTTGCTTTGCGGTCGACTCTCTGATAGTCGATCTCGCTTCAACGTCTTCTGAATCCTGAACAACACTCATCTCTCTTCTCAAATGCACCCTGCTTGTTGTGCAACCGCGTTCAAGTCCACTCGATCTCTTCCAGTGGTGAACCTTCGGCGCAGCCTGTGTCTCGACACAGGTGCCGGAAGCTGGTTCCACAGTGTAGTGGCCCTCTACACTGTGATCTTGTGCAATCGTACTAACGACCGTACCACGAGTGAGGCCATCGCACTCACTCGTAGTACATCCACACGCTTGTGGACGCTCCAAGACGTTCATCAGATGGCCATCCGATGAACTTACATGGGACATCTTCACGAATCTATGCTGCCATCTGACCCATGGCTCGTATTTTTTAGCCACGGCAGACCTAGGATGACATCAAATTTGTTATCCTAATCCATTACGATGAAGTCATCATCGTACTGCTTTCCATCTAGCGTACTATGGATTCCCACTACATGTTTGTTCACTGTTACGGATGCGCCTGTAGCAAAGCACACCGTCATCCTCGTTAAAGGTAAATCTCGCTTAACATAGTTGAGCCATCTTTCTTTTAGCGACTGGCGTCGAATAAAACTGCTGGACGCCCCACAGTCATCTAGGGCGCATAGTGACATTCCACTTGTCACTTTGACCTTCAACGTGATGAGGGACACCTCATCACTAGGGGCAGTAACAAAGAGCGACTGTGTGCTGGGAGCAATCTTCGTCAAGAGTCCTGCAAATTCTCTTGTCGTTGCTGGATCAGCAGGGTGCTCCACCTCTACCGACCCTGTCCGTTTTTTGGCGGTCCGACTTGCTGTCGCGGTTCAGAGATATGGTCGGACCCGCGCCTTGGCCCTTCCTAGGCCAACGGCGGTCATCACTTCCTGTCTTTGGACGTGTTGCGGTTCTCGGGACACTACACTCATGAGCGTAGTGTCCGATATTCAGGCAGCTATGGCATCTTGCCGTTCGCTTTTGACTCAGAGAGCGAGAGTTCTCGCTCTCGATGTAACAGAGGTCCATTGGTACGGAACCTCCGGGTTCCTGCCTTCTCGTCGAACGATAGTGAGATGAGTTAGCCTGAGACTGTCTAAGGCTGAAGTATTTTTGTTCCGCTTACACTATCGCCTTTTCCAGCGTATGGAAGTCTTCTCGGAACATGTAGGTCTTCATCGGTCCATCTACAAGGACGTAGATGAACACGTTAATAAGTGTGTGCTCATCAACATGGTAATTCGTGACGCTACTAGCAAGGTAACATAGGTGTTGTTGCCTAAGCGTGCACATCACGCTTACCTTGCTTGAGCCTTAAGAGTGTAGAGCGTGCTCTGAACTCGGCTTTTGGTGGCTCAAACGTTTCTTTGAGTCGAGACTATAAGGCCATTAACGACTATAATACGTCTGGGTCGTGAAGCTCGAGCCCTAAGACCCAAGTCTTTTCTCGTCCTGTCAAATTTGACAGGGCGAAGGTGACTTACATCTCGTCACCCTCGATGTGACTGGCCCTGACGGCGTCGTCTAACTGGAAGAACCACTTCAAAGGGAATCCTCATCGGTTCCCTTGTACCATGAGATATATATCTTCAAGGTTGCGGGTCGACGCGTGTACTTCGGCGCCCATCGACTGATGATCGCCTTGATGTTGTAGCAAGGCTATCTTCTGTCGTTCGACGGCAAGTTCCCATCGTAGGAGCTTGTTGATAGCAGCATGGTGCTGGTCTCTGCTTAGAGACTCCAACATGCCACTGATGGTGGGTTCTCCCATGAGCACACTCATGCGGTCGACTATCTCCCATTCTGAGTCACTCAGATGGGAGTAGCCTTCACGTGTGACGTGAAAGCTGTCGTCTTAAACGTCCGGCATGTTTATGTTGGAAGGACACTAAGTAGTCGTTGGACGGACTACGAAGTGCTACCAGGTGTAACGGGGGACCGTTTGCTCGAATGCCACGAAACTTCACGTACACTAGTACGTGCAGATGAAGGTAATATACATAAAAATACTAGTTTAAGTGAAGGTAAAAAGAGAACTGTTTTTAATATAGTTGAGCTATCGATATAACTTTAATCTTTATCTAACTATATTAAACTACGTCGTCGGATGACGACAGCCTGCTCACCACCCATTGCGCGCGTCTAGCAGCGATTGGTGGCAACCTTGGTTGAAATGTCTTTATCAACCAATCATTCAGCAGCGCATGAATGTTCTTAAAGTAAGATAATATTCCTTTAATATTATTTATCTCGGGTAATATTGGCAGGGAATTGTCACGCTAGACAGTCTCCCTATCGAGACCGTTCGGTTTCATTGTTATGAAACGGGCTACCCCGCAACAGTCTGCATGCGCGCATGTCTAAAGCTCTCTGTGCACGACTATCTTAATGTCCTCCAGCATGCTATTATGCGGACCTACATTGCACATTAACAGATTTAGAACAGCACAGGAAAATAGGAAGTTGTTTCGTTGCGTACAGACAAATAATTATAACACGCGTCGCGTGCACACGATACGAATAACTCTAACACGCATGAAGTAAAGAACAAAAATGGAAGTGGCCGCCTTACCACCCACTAGCGCGGAAACTTTTGCATAAAAGCGATATGGAGATTGCTTGATGTTGTGAATGCGTCTGTTGTAAAATACACTAAGTGATCGAGAGCTAGGCGGACAAATAGGCTCCGAGTCCGCAAACGTTACAGGCAAAGCTTGACATAATCTTGCGTTTAAGAACACCTAAGAGCGACTGCGAAACATACTGAATTAGGTCCGGTCGGTGTTTCATAACCGGTTATAATGATGTAACACCCTAAACGACATGATTATAAATAGCTAATTGTGTAGCGTTTTATCGAACTGAGAGGATTAATCAGAAAACTAGGAGGAGAGCCACGGTTCCTGTTACACGTTGCTGTTCATGGAGCAGCTACCAGCTCGCTCATAGTAATTGTCACAGTGTTTGTCATGATTGCGAGCGCACAGTACCGCCAAGCGATTGCAGTAATGACGCTTTACAGGCGCGTAATTAAACTCAAGTTTAGTACCTTTCAGACGTTTCTTTGCGCAGTGTCACAGTGCATCCCGGTACTACTATTGGCCCTGTCGTTTCTTTCGTTGTAGCCTCGACGACGCTGAGCTTAGCGGGCGTATCGTGTAACATTTGTTTGCCTGGACAAAGAATCGTAACTGCATTGCGCGATCGATCGATGAGTGCTTATTCGTTGGCAGTCCGCGTCCGTGTGCTCATAGCCGTTTTATTCGCGCGTGGTTGAAAGGACCACAAACGGTCGCTGCTGGTTCAACGAGCGGAAAACATGACATCCATCGCTGTTTCAAATCCTATCAGTTCGCACTGTCCATGCTTTAGGTTTCGCAGACAGAGTGCGACAGCTTTGAAGCGTGAAAGGGTGCGCATTCCAATCGCGAGATTGGACGAAACAACATCGTCTGCTGTGGACATTCGGTGACTAAAAAGGTGCCGTCCACTCTATCCTTGATTGGAAATGCATCGATCCTCCACATGTGGGACTAATTGGCACAGGGTGGATTGTCACAGTGGCCAAGAGACCGGCAGCATCCGTGCGCTTTTTGCCTGCCTCGACGTCCACATTAGTCACCAGCTATCGTTCCATCCGTCCGTCCGTCCAACGTCGCTCCATAGTCGCCCATTACGAGCCCGATATCTTGTTGTCGCCATTTTGCGTTTCTCACCTGCTTATTTCGTAGTGTATGAGCGGATAGTCACCCTGCACATACCCGAAAGGTAGTCGTTCCTGTCCTTGCTAGAGAGTCGACATCGTCGGGACCGTGTGGGAAAGACGGTGTAGAAACCTGCGGGTCCTAACGTAAGCCTCCAGACCGAACCAGCTCGAGCGTCGCCATCGAGGCTCATCCTTCCACAGCCAGAAAACCAACTCGCGGATTGTCCACTGCGATTTGCTGTAGATGCAAACCAAGCGATGAATCCTCGTCATTTCTTCATTTACCACCACTAGTAGCTGCCCCCCTTCCTCCCTTCCTTCCTTCGGTTAGTGGTTCACATGACCCCTCTCTGCCAACTAGAAATTCCACCGAGGGGTGATAGTAAATGCCTCGACCAGTCTGATCGAACTTGCATCACCCCAAAGCGCAAACATCTGAGCGAAAGCTCGGAGGAGTTTCTTTCAACGCTCATAGGGACGAAACGACCGTGCGGACGACCCCGGGATGCCAATAATGTGCAGCTCAGTACGGCGCACGAGATTCGATTGCTCAAAGGTCAAGTGGCCTCGATGGATAAAGAACTGCGGGATCTTCAGACCAAGTGGACTCAGTGGGTTCCAGATAAAACCGCGCTGAGTACGGCGTACCGATCGCTATGTGAGAAGCGCGCAGCCAACATTGCGGAACAAACCCATGGGGAACTCCAAGTGCTCCTTCGACAGCAACAATTGGTGTTCGCGACGCTTCAGACGGCGGTCCTTCACGCCCCGCTGCATTCAAGTGGGTACGAACTCTTCGAAGCTCTGCACTTTCACACTAAACTCGGCCTGGAAACGGACGAGCGCGAGAACGTCCTCCTAGCGCACCGAGTGCGATCCCTTGCCACGCTCCACTCGATTGTGGACGAATTCTCGCAAGTGGCGCTCGCCAACGCTCGCTCGAAACAGAACAAAAGTGTTGGAGACAAGTCCATCTTGCCTCTATCTCAATTTGACGTCACTGGTTGCAAAGACTGCACACTGCTATCGAGCACGTTTATCTCGGAGATCCCCCACACATCGCTGGAAGAGGTCTATGCAGCTGTTTTGGCGTACTTTGATGCCATCCCTCGGTCCATGAAGACGCACTTTGGCGTTCATACCACTCGGTCAAGGTTGAATAACATCGAGTCTCCGGTCATTTATCGACGCTCGTCCTTCAGCGGGTCCGGCTTGGAAGCAACGATTAACAACATCGTGTGCTCGGAGTTGACGGCTTCACATGGTATGGTCCACGTTGACACAGTCACGAACGATCCATTGTACCCCGTACCGGCATCAGCTTCGTCGCAATGTGGACTTTGCGGCCTTACCGTCACCCCGCACAAAGATCCGATGACGGGCAAAACGCTGTCTGTGACCTTACGGTGGCTAGCGGTGTACCGCTACAACATGCTTCCACACGAGCTTGCTGATCAACAAGGTATGAAGATTATGCGACCGGTATTGAACGGAGACTTGATCACTGCCTCGGTCTGCGCCTACATTCAACAGCAGAGGCTCAAGTAGATCAAGTCTCGCAGGCTGGTTGTGATGAGACGCTTTTGCTCTGCCATGATGGTCCACTTTAGTCTTACAATAAGAGTTTTTGTTAGTCGGTAGTTGAAGCCTACGCGAGTGTCTTCTTTCAGCACAATGTCATAAGCACGTAAATATTGTATCCACCCGTCTACATGGTTCACGTTGTAAGCAGACGAGTCACGCAACGGGCGCTAGGCAACTGAAGAATTGCAATATACGCAAGTGGAGGTACGAGCGTAGTGGTTTCGACGTTCGGACCTTCAACGAGGTCCAAACTTCTGGCCAGCTGAAGATTGCGTGTCTCGATTCTCAGCCACAGTCAACAGCGATGTAAGCAAAAACGTCCTAGTATCGCTACATGTCACGAAGTGATATGCATCCTACCACCATGGAGTGACTGTTCGCAAAGTAAACAATACGCCAGGTACCAACATGCCTTTGAAGAAGCAGTTTATCGTCCTATACGTAAGAAGTGCCATTTTTTCCTATTTTTTGATTGTAACAGTCCGTTTGTATAACCATAATCGGAAAGTATGTAGGTATGCGGACATTCATTTGGTCGGCATGAGTATTTGTGGAGAGAGCTCAATGTCCTAGTGCGTGTACATGGTGCTGTCAACGAGTTCATTGAATGTTTCAGAGTTTTCACTACTGACACCTCTCACATTCTTGACCGGCTCGTTCAGTTAACCTTGCTCCAAATCGTTCCGCAGCGTGTTGATTAGACGCTATTTTGCGTTTCTCGAGTACCAGGCAAATAAGCAAAGAATGATTGAGAATCATCATCGGATACGAGATACAAATCTGGGTCAACAGCGACGGATATCTACCTAACGAGTGCATACGGCAGCTTTTTTTATCTCAGCATGCGCACTGACAAGAGTTTGCGTAGATACAAAGTCTGCGAGTGAATTTTGTGATTTACTAAACCGTGTCCGTTCTCCGCCCCAGCGCTGATCAGACGACCCGTCACTTCTTGGTTGTGGTTGCTGTGGTGTAAATAGGTTCTCAGAACAGCTGCGAGTTCGCATGATGGCTACAGCGTTATTTTATTTATAAGCTCGGATAAGTGATCAACATCAACAAAACAGCTGATACCTAGTGCTCGTTTCTTCGATCAACAGACAGCAGCGCGTCGTACTCCACACGGACGTAGTGCAGCCTACATTGTGTTTTTTCCAGGCACGAAACCGAATCGGAGGACGCCTCACTTTGAAATTTCCGAAGGTGCAACGATCAATTATCGATGAAGGTGCGTCCGATAACAGAGTCGGAGCCCTTAAACACTTTTTCCAGCAAGAATCTAGCCATCACGTCCCAGAGTCACCCCGATGCAGAGTCCACGGCCTCGAAAGTCATGAAGAAGCGAATCCATGCATCACGAACGGTTGATGACAGTATCACTGTGCCCAATAAAAAAGTCAAGAGACCCCCGTGTAGGTCCGGTAGCTCAATCAAAGTACCCCTCACAGCCACGCATGAACTTCGCTTGCTGAAAGCGCAAGTAAATTCCATGGAAACGGATCTGCACAAGTTGAAGTCCAAGTGGGCTCGGGACTTACCGGACAAGCACATCTTAGCTACAGCTCAGCGTTCAGCCTTAACGAAGTGTGCGGTAGCCCAGACTCAGGCAACGCAGGATGAATTGCAGGAGGTGCTTCTTCAACAGCAGCTGATGTTTGCTACGCTACAGACAGCCATCTCGCGCGCCCCGTTGCATTCAAGCGGCCAAGATGTCCTCAAGTCGCTGCATTTTGATACCCGCCTTCGACACGACACGGTGGAACGCAGTAGAGTGCTTCTTGCACACACTAAACGCTCGCTAGCCACAATACCGTCAATCGTGCATCGGTTTACTCAAGTGGCAATCGATAAAGCGCTTGCTTCTAAAGATGACGAAGGCGCCACCATTGAATCGGTACTACCGTTATCTCGGATTGATATCACGGGTTGCAAGGACTATACACTCGTGTCCAGCGTTTTTGCGTCTGAGATTCCACACAGCTCACTAGAAGATGTATACGCTGCTGCATTGGCGTATCTCGATGCGATTCCAGAAGCACTAAAACGTCACGTAGGTGCCGAGTTGACACGCACGAGGCTTAATACGGACAACGACCCTGCAGGCTATTGGCGACTTGAACTTAGTGGGGTTGGGCTGCCAGCAACCGTGAACCATATTGTGTGCTCAGAACTAACACCATCACATGGAGTGATACACATGGATGCAGTCATGCATGACACGTTGTATCCAATTTCACGAGGGAACGACTTGGAGTTTGGTATCGCCGGGCTTACAATTACGCCGCATGAAGAAGATGGGACCAACAAGACTGTAGCGACCATGTTGCGATGGGTCGTTTTGTACCGCTACAATCTGCTGCCGAATGACCCTGCATTACGAAGAGACTTGGAGTGCACTCGTTCTATTCTGAATGGTGATCTGATCACAGCCTCAGTGTGTTCGTATCTCCGGCAACTGCAACACCAGCGTGCTACGTTCCATCAAAGCAACAAGTAGCCAGACCGTCGTTTTAGCGGAAGCCCTCAAGTATCTCGGAGCAAGAGACAGTTGTTGCGCATTCGACTCTTCAAGTTCTGCGGGACAAAACTGTGTGGTCTGTAATTTTCCTACCGCTGATAGCGGGAAGGGAGGGAGACTAGACTAGCGAATGCATAGTACTGAGAGTTGGCGCTGTGAGCTCTTTCCGTTTTAGGTGTCCGGTTCTGCAATGCGGCATCGGTGTGACGTCTCGTGGAGAAAGACAATTCATCATCAACTACGTTTTCTTCGGTGCAATGATCGCATAGGGACCCAGCGTTTTCCCCGTCCTGTTCTTCCTACTCTTGGCGTATCGAACGGAGATTTGAGGAGTATTGCCTACGCTCTGTGCGCCAATGTGCACGGCTGTCTACCTTTTCGCGACCTCGAGAATGATGACGCGTTAAAAATACATTTGCGTCTCAACGATGGTTACTCGGACGCTTGCATAAGTTGCACAAAATGTCGTTTTTTGTAGTAGAAAGTAAACGAGCCATCTCGGGAGTCTGTATACACTGACAAACACGAGAAAGGAGCATCCTCTACAGATTCGCAGTATACGAAAATTGCTCAGGCTCTATGGCCTGAGCGAGAATAGCAACGATTCTTTCACCTCGTTTTTAAGGCGACATGAAGGGCAAGAGAAGAAGTGACCGAACTGACAATGTACCAGGGTGATCATATTTTTGTTTAAGGGGTATGTGTGACTGCTCGCCTAAATCAAGTTCTCACACGGTATCTTAAGTGCATCACAATTCTTCGAATGAAAATTGAGGGTTGGTCTCACAACGACCGTCGCACGTCTTAGAAAGATCAACCTTGATGGCGCTTGTGGGAGCCTGCCTAACAATGAGAACGTCTACTCGGTAAAATTACCCGCAGAAAGGTAGTCACATCTCAAAATGACAACAAATCACCTCAAATATGCATGATGGGAGGCAATATGAAAATTGGGTACATTGATATGCCATAATGAGCCGATCGCTTACCAAAAATGCGGCTGCGATTCGATGAGAATATCTAGGTGTTCGCTGTTAAGGCAGTAGCGGCCTACCTTATCGTAGTGCCGTCATTGGATCTGCAGAAAGACTACGCAATTGATTTTTGTAGATCTGTCAATATGTGATTGCGAGCCCCAAGGGTAAAGCTAGCTTAATAACTCGTACTTATCTGTCTGTGTATCTGTAAATATCGCTAGGGGTGTCTTACATGCCGTGCTAAGTGCAATGTAGCCTGTCCCCTCCTCAAAGGCATATAAAGTGTTATATTAACCCCTTTTTGGTTGGTTTCAGTCATTTATTCGTTCGCTAAGTTAACACGTGTAGCAAAAGGAAGTCGTTGGTTGATATTTCGTTGCTTTTATACTTATTTTCTCTTACATACCCTCGCAAGCTGAATAATTGTTATGACTATACAAATGATTATGATCATAACGCCGACAAACATGAGTATTCTTGTCCCCAATATGTGATGGCAGATCAATAAGAAATCGCCGTATACTTATAGCCAATGTTGATCTCAGTATTTGCAGATTCAGCCACTCAATGGATAGGGTTAGGGCAATAGCGTTCAAACAATATTCTGATATCTTCTGTCAAAACGAGTTCGAAGATATGTGGTGGCGGCATATGTGCCGAGTCAGAGGTGTACGATGCTGCATATTGTGAAAACCCCGACAAAGTTACAATTATAAAAAATCGGAATCACGTATGTAACGGGGCACCCTGAAGCTTGTACTGGTGACAGTACAAGCTACTTATTCTGATGACAGAATAAGGCGGTGCCTCGGAACTTCACGTACACTCGTACGTGCAGAGGAAGACGGTAAGAAGAAGCGAGTACTTGGTTAAAGTAAAAAGTAGAACTGTATTTATAATAGTTAATGTCTGCAATAAACCCCCTGTTTATCTTCATCTAACTATGTCTAAATACAAATGTGTAAATCAGTTATCTGCTCACCACTCATTGCGTGCGTCTGTCGTGGCGCGTCTTCGTTGGTTGATATAATGGCCTATGTCAATCAATTAGGAACTACTCGTAAGTGCTACAGAATGTTTGTCCTTATGACAATATTCTGAGAATATGACTCTTTAAGTTATATTCTATTAGCAATTTCTTATAAATTGTCATGTAACGATTCACCCCGTTACATCACCCCCCCTTAACCATCAGTCACTTTAGTTACTGATTGACTAAATGGATACTCGTCCCAAATCATTTGGGACAGGGTTTGCACTTGTTGGTCCGCGTCCACTTTCCAACATTTCATCGCATGGTAAACAAGCCCATGCGATGCGCGAGCAAGGCCGCCGAGAGCGCGTCTGCACGTCTCTGTGCGGACGCCGAAGCAGAAACCACAGCAACTGATGTCTCATCGGTTGCTGAAGCGACCCAGCCTGTGTCACTTGGTGATGCAGGCGCTGGTCATGAAGACACTCGTGTCTTCACAGAGTACGAGCTCGGTGTCTCGTACTCTTCTGATACGGATGACGGATCCGTATCGACGGCGATTGAATCCAAGCCGCCTGCCTAGCGTGGCATGGACGATGCTTTGCGTCGCAGCATCTTTGGTTCATCTGATGAATCAGATGAACCATCGCCGAAGCGAAGGCGCTCGAGGTCGCGAGACTCGGGCGCTAATAGTGGTGTCGGTTCTCCTATTGACACCACTTCGCAACGAGGTGCCAGTACTTCTGTCGGCACGACGCAGGAAGAGCGGGACCGCAATGTCTTGCGTCTCGCTCCAGAAAAGAAGGCATGGATGCCTCCAAAATCCGTCATGGATCACTTGTCGGCGACGACGAGTGATCGTTATCGAACACGATTGTTCGATTCGTCAAGGATCCATCACCTTGACCCCAGCGCGAAAAACTATCGCGCTGAACATGAATTCTTCATCGATGCTTTCTTTAGACATCGATGGTACAGCGGGAATCACAAACGTGATGGTCCCTCACTACTTCAGGCGTGGAACGCCTACATCCATAACCTCGAGGATGTAGGTCGTGACGCTTGGAACGACAAACTTATCAAAGCTCGTGATAAGTTTGAAAAGCGAACCCCGACAGGTGCACGCTACAAGCTGCATCGTCTGTCAAGGGAGAAGGGATTACCCTGCCTCTCATGGGGAGACTCATTCCCATGTTGTGTGAACAACTCTGCACGAGCACCTAAGGAGGCTTACCTCCTTACCAGCCCGTGGTGGCGCGTACGTGTCTCTACTGAGATGTACGAAGGTATTGACAACCTGAAGTCCCTTTACGACCGTGCCGGGAAGACTTTCTCCGGCGGTCCTTCTGCGGCACAGGATGTGCCGCGTCGTACTGCTTAACCAGACCCAGTACGTCAACCATCAGTTGGGAGCGGGGCTCCCAAGAATCCCAGGACGGGGGATAGCCGCGCCACCGGACGAGATAACTCGTCCGACGTCCGTTCACGCCGCGGTGGTTCAACAGATGCTCAACTAGATAGCGCTGGCCACCACGAGAGTCCTCTAATGGAGGTGGAGGAGGAGGGAAGACGCTCTCCACACTATCGTGGGGAAGCGTGTGTTCCCGAGAGCTTCTTTGATCACGTAACGCAAGGGTTACGCGACGATCTCGAACATGAGCGGAATAGGCGTCTCCAAATGGCGGACACTGCCTCGAAGCATCGAGCTGAGTTTGCCTTTGCTCAGCCTGAGAACGAAAGAGCTATGACATCTCTTCGTGACGAGCTAAGGGTAGCTCGTGGGAATGTTGATCGGTCTCGGGCTGAGATAACTGCTCTTCAGACCCTTGTTGATGCCCACCATCGGGAGCACAAGGCTCTCTGCGAGATGCTTGAGCGCAAGGGCGTTCTTCATCGGAAGAAGCAGCGTACTGATGGTACGGCTTAAGCCGACCAACGTAAAACGTGGGATGCGTTCGCATCTTACGTGGTAACTCGATCGTGTATGCATTGCCTAGGCGGTGCAATACACGAAATGGGCCAATGTACTTGGGTAGTAGTTTACTGCTACCCAAGTTAGTCACTACATGCTTTGGTAGATTAACCGTAGACAGTAGGACTAAGTCACCTTTGTTAAATAAAAGAGTGTTTGCCCTTCCATTCTTGTCAGCGTTTTGCTTTTGCTTGTCCACCGCTTCGGCGATGGAGTCTTGCACAAAACGGACTACCGTTTCACGAGCCAGTATGAACTCATCTGATGACTCGTTAGCTTCAGTGTGCTGTGAGCACACTGCAGCAACAACAACCTTTTCTTCAGTGAGGGCTTCCGCACTCTCGCTGGGATCATTGTCTTCAGTGAGGGCTTCCGCACTCTCACTGGCATCATCTTCTTCGATATCGATGTTATCGATATCGGCATCAAACGCAATGACTTCTTCGTCAGAGCGTGATGAGCGTGAACCAATTCGGTTTTTGCTCGCGCGAGTCCCTCCCCCCTTAAACCAGAGTTACACTCTAGTAAGGTGGGTACACGCGGATGGCGCAAGCCATTCACGTAAAACGGTGTATGTGTCGTGGACGCATGCACCGAGTTGTTAATGGCAAACTCTACCATTGGCAAAAACTCACTCCAACTCTTAAAGGAGTGTACGTATCCTCGAAGTATATCTTCAAGGACACGATTGGCACGTTCCGTCTGACCATCTGACTCTGGATGATCAGATGTCGACATCTTCAAGCGCGTTCCGAGTGATTTGAACACGGAACGCCAGAAATCAGCAGTGAATCGTGGATCTCTGTCTGATACGAGTTCACGGGGCAACCCATGAAGTCGGAAGATGGTGTCAATAAAGACACAAGCACAGCCACTTGCCGTGATTGTCTCTGGTACAGCCACAAGGTGTACCATTTTGCTGAATCTGTCAACAAATACGAGAATACCCGTATTCCCGCGTGCGTCTTTGGGTAACCCGAAGACGAAATCCATTGAGATGGATTCCCAGCACTCAGCCGGAACCGGTAGAGGCTGTAAAGGTGCACGCAGTGAAGGA